TCTTCTAGAATAAGTAGCTTTAGTTTATTTTTTTTTTACATTTTTTGTAACCCGATAGCGGGGAAATTCTGTGTAAAAATATAGATATCTATAAAACTTAACTAAAATGTCCAAAAAACTTCAAAAAACCATTAAAATATCATTTTTTTTTTATTTTACCTACATGGAACAATCTAGAACTTGCTGGAAAATTATATATTTTAAAAAAAAAATCAATCATTTTGACGTCATCATATTTTAGACTAAAACCTATAAACGAAAATGTCGCAGCTCTATAGTTTTCTATTAAAGTTAAAACCAGGACATGGGTAGGGACCAGTTTCATGATCACTAAGGCAGGACCTTAAAGAATTCATCCGCCAAGTAAACATTTCAAAGTTGTTCCTTTAAAATCAGTTGAGAAATATCAAGAGATCAGTATCTCTAGACGCGACAAGAGTCAATATTATGAGTTCTAAACGCTCAAGTTTTTTATATTAAAGTGCTTTAGTGTAAGGGCCACATTTTATTTTAATCGCCATGTCTTTTCAAATAAATTTTGTTCATTATCCAACCTAGACTACTCACTTGATTTTAGGTTTTTTACCAATTATCTCCCTTTTGGTGCATGAGATCCAAACAGTAAAATGTGTCAAGGCGATGCCATTGGTAATTACATTCGATTTTATAGTGTTAAGGGTGAACATTTCACTTAAATATTTATCTGAAAATAAAGACCACCCTATCCTCGGGATAAATGAAATGGTACTTTAAGGAATGGGCTCGAGCTTCCGATCTTGCTCTATTTTAATTAAAGAACTTTCACAACCTACACAGGGGTCAATATATTTTTTTTATATAGGATATTATAAGGAAAACAACTTGTAGACACTCTCAAACTCATTTGGAATTTTGTAGAAACCACAAAAATGTCTTTAAATCTGATTTCATAAAAATTGGAGCAACTCAGAGAGACTTGTCGAGACATAAGAAATATAAAAACGATATTGAAATAATATTTGAAAAATTAGAGAAAAAAGTTACATTCTATTTAAGGTATAAACTTCCAGACAATTCACAGATACTGAGGGACATCCGCTCAACCCCCACCAAAAGAAAAACAACCCTATAATATCACATAGTTGGTTTCTTCGCTAGTGAAAAACTTAAGAACTCTCGTTTTTAAAGTATGGCTAAATGTAAAAAGTGGGTGCTTGGTGGCCGGGTGGTCTAATCTGAGCCAATCTCGAGGTCCTGAGTTCAATCCAAACTAAAGCCAAGTGAAACAAATATCTTATCTTTTCTTAAATTATCTAAAAGTTTTGTTTTCAAACTTTTTGAGAAATATCTCCAACTGTAAGATAGTCGATATCACTTTCTACATTAATTTCAATAAATTCGACATGTATCTCTTCGATTGTTGGATCAGTTCGATTGTTTTATCATTTAAACTTGCGACTCCAGTAAACTTAGCATGTTGTAGCAAATGCTGTGAGCCTGGAAAGACATGCTAACATTTGAACTCTCCAGCTATTATTATTATTATTAGTAGTATTATTATTATACGTAGTTTTATATAGCGTGGTGTAACGGACTATGTTTTCACATGAAAACAGAGAGGTAGCATGAGTGAACAGTGAATTGTGTTGACCATGTATTTTGAGATGCAAATGTGAACTCCACGTTTTTGGAGAGTAAAATTATGTTTTTGTCAGAGCGGTTGTTTTCCACGCTTTGCTGGTAATAAAGTATGAGTTGACTGAGATAGTGAGAGCTGAGCGCAGAGCAGTAGAGAATAGTAGCGTGAGAGCTGTGTGATTAGACAGTTGAGATGAGTTGACAGTAGTGTGAGGACGTGTCTTTCTTAATGATGGAATACTATAGATATATATGTGAAATTACATTCATGCAAGGATTATTTATTAATATTATCAATATAAAGTGTGTTCAATAAAGTACTGTAAGTTTAACCAGGATTCAGTATTCTTATTTGCGTGCCCGGATTATAAGTGGAAGAATGAAGAAGCCTTAGTCGGCATCCTGAAATATCAACATAACATAAGTAACCATACTACTGACATAACCCACAGCATAAGAAATAAGCTCCCACGCCATGTCAGAGTAGTTGTGTTACACGTGGTACCCAAGCCTAGGGCTGGTCTCACCACGCTGTACATACAATTTAACAAACATAATAAAAATATGAAATAATTCGTTGACACACATTCATTAAATAAAACAAAACAAATGTATATTTACAACTATTTCCATCTCAAGCCATGGACGACACTCAGTACCATCGTTTTACGGTCAGAGGTGGGAATCAGTCAGGATAGTAGAGATTAAATAGATGTGTTTTGAGTGCAGTTTTGAAGGTTGTGATGGTCGGTATATTGCGGATGTGTAATGGAAGAGAATTCCATTGTTTGGGTGCACAGAAAGAGAACGATCGTTCACCGTATGTTTTTGTGCGAGTCTTGGGGACAGAAAGAATACGCGCGTCTGCGGAGGAGAGAAGCTGTCGAAGGGGTGAATAGACAGAGAGAAGTTCGGTTAGATAGGAAGGGACACGGGCACCCGCAGGGGTGGGCAGGGGGGCATTTGCCCCCCCCACCTGGATTGATTGGATAAAAAAAATTTAGACAAAAATAGACCAAAAATGTATTAAAGTTAAGAGAAAATAAAGAGAAAGTAACTAAGCTGATGTCCTGTGCATTCGTTCACCATACAAATACGCTACAGTAAATTAAAACTATATTAAAACATTACTAAAATTTGTTTGCTCCCCCTGGAAAGTTAATCGATTTGTTTGCTTCCCCCCTAGAAAGTTTTCTGCGGGCGCCCATGGAAGGGGAGCATCCTTTTCGCGAGAGCAGCAGTACATTTTAGCAGACGATTATACACTTAAGCAGTCGAATGTACGGTAGATAAGTTGCTAGGAGCTCCCAACGAGCGCCATATGTTACAATCCCACTGACTTGCTACAGCCCAGCGTACTAAGCAGGCGCTAGTGGAAATGTGGGAGGTGACAATGAGCGCTAGTAGCAGTAGAGGATTAAGTAACTGCATTGCTATTGGAAATAATACTTTTATTTATGTTTTTTTAATGTTTAAAATTTTTCTTTATTACAATCTGCATATTCATTTTCAACATATACAAAAATATATCTACAATAAAAACCGCTTTTAAGATAGAACAGTTCTGCTTACATAGTTCAAACAGGAAGAAAATCAATGGCTAGATTTAGTGAACATCTCCATTATAGTGATGCAAGAAACCTCATCCCGTTTAAATGGAGAGGAACCCAACGGGAAATCAGATGTAGTTTTCATGGAAATGATTTCATACACCAATACACCATCGAGAGTGAAGCAAGAGAGACAATCAGTTAAGACTTTAACAGTCATAACGCTACATAGGAAATAATTATATTATAATAAATAAGAGGGTGCTGGGTGGCCAAGCGGTCTAAATTGTCTCAACCCAAATAGCTGGTGGTCTGGAGTTCAATCCCCACCAAAGCCAACATCTCAAGCCCCCCGGGTGGCTGGGACCCGCTAGCCTTGGACGGCAACCCATCTAAGAGAAGGCAAACTCTGAATTTAAACCAGGAGCCAGAATGATCAACAAATTGATCGTGGGCTCCTCAAATATATGAAGAAGAATTAAATACTGAGAACTACACTTAATGTTTCTGCTTTCCTTTAGTGTTTAGTCTCGTCTTCTGCTGAATGGTTCCAGCCAAAACATTCATTTGTAATATCATGTTGTTTTCATTTGCAAAATCATATTTTTTCATTTGCAATTTCCTATTTTTGCATTTGTAATATCATGTTGTTTTTATTTGAAATATCCAATATTTTCATTGGCAATATCCTAGTTTTCTTTTGTAATATGTTGATTTCATTTGCAATATGCTATTTCTCATTTGTAATTTCCTATTTTTCATTTGAAATATCATATTTTTCATTTGTAATATCATGTTGTTTTCTTTAGCAATGTCCTATATTTCCATTTTTAATACCCTATTTTTCATTTGTACAATCATGTTGCTTTCATTTGCGATATCCTATATTTTCATTTCTAATATAATGTGTTTTCATTTGCAATATTCTATACTTTTTATTTGTCATATCTTATTTATTATGTGTAATATGTTGTTTTTTTTTCATTTTAAGCTTTCATTTGTTTCCCTACTGTTTACTCCCCAGGGTTTGAAAGCATTCCCTTTCATGCCATTGTTATTGTCAGACCTGAACTAAAATAGTCTGGGTAGCTTACCGTTTCACTACTGATAGGTTTGACGGTTACTGTAGACTAACTTGGTACAGTTCACCTTGGTACAGTTCACCTTGGTACAGTTCACCTTGGTACAGTTCACCTTGGTACAGTTCACCTTGGTACAGTTCACCTTGGTACAGTTCACCTTGGTACAGTTCACCCTGGTACAGTTCACCTCGGTACAGTTCACCTTGGTACAGTTAACTTTGGTACAGATCATCTTGGTACTGTTGACCTCGATACAGCTCACCTTAGAACGTTTCACCTTGGTACAGTTACCTCGGTACAGTTCAGCTCGGTACAGTGGACCAGCCCATTATTTATCTTGTACATCATGGAGAGCCTGGATTGTCGTCGTCGTTACTCCAATGGTGACCAGCCTAGTGTTTCCAGCATGCCGCCAACACTGTGTTTGTTCTTGTCATTGTTATACTATGGAAGTCCAACTTGGAAGTCGTTGGGGGGGGGTGAATAATTAAGTATCGCACCTGATGACACCAACCCTAGCTAAACCGCTGACATAGTATATGTCTCTTTCTCAACATATATTATCTGTTTCTATTTTACCACATGGCATATGTCTCTAGCACATAGCATCTGTTTCTATTTTACCACATAGCATATGTCTCTAGCACTTAGCCTCTGTTTCGTCTTAGTTCACTTATATAAAACAATCATCATTCAAAAGACAAGAATAATACAATAACATAAATAACACAAAATTCAAAAACGTATTTTTGCTGCATTGAATATTTATTAAATTCACTATTCTATCCACCAGTTGTTTTATTTTTGTAGCGAGAGTTGTAAATAAATTGTTTAATGGACATTTGTAGATATAAAGATTGCATGGACAGGTCAGGTTGGATTTTGATAGATCAGAATTGATCTTTTTAAAACGAAGCAAATTAAAAGTTTCTTCAATTGTATTTTATTTTTAAACTTATTTTTTTCATGTTTAAATCAAATTTTTTTTTTAAAGCTAAACATTGTCGTTAATCTAATTCTACAAATAGCAAACAGTTGATATCAAGTTTGACAAGATGGAGTCGATAAGGCAGAAGTTAAGGCAGACGTCTTTTCTAAGATCCAATGATTGACCTTATAAAGCTTGAAATGTAGGTGTTGGTGACCTTGGTGTAGATGCCAGGGTAGCGAGCACGAGCACAGCCGGAACCAAAGGAGACGATGCCGTGGAGGACGAACCGGCCATTGTACAGACACATCAGCGGACCCCCCGAGTCACCCTGGGGACAAACAACAACGGGTTAGTGACCTGGGTAGGGCGAGGGGGGAGGGTTAGTGACGTAGGTGTTGGTCAGTGATATAGGTTGGGGTTGTGCAGGAGGTTGGTGTTTGGGAAGTATAGGATGACTTGTGGCGTAGTGACCTTGTGGGTGTGGGTTGTGCTGGATGTGGATGACTTGTGGCGTAGTGGCCTAGTTTGTGTGGGTTGTGCTGGATGTGGATAACTTGTGGCGTAGTGGCCTAGTCTGTGTGGGTTGTGCTGGATGTGGATGACTTGTGACATATTGGCTTATCTGTGTGGGTTGTGCTGGATGTGGATGATTGTGGCGTAGTGGCCTAGTCTGTGTGGGTTGTGCTGGATGTCGATGACTTGTGACATAGTGGCCTAGTCTATGTGGGTTGTGCTGGATGTGGATGCCTTGTGGCGTAATGGCCTAGTATGTGTGGATTGTGCTTGATGTGGATGAGTATTGTGAAATAGGTGGTTGGTGTGTGGATGACTGCCACAGTGAGATATGGAATATGTGGTTGGTTTTTGGAGGACTGGTATGGAGGGCTTTTTTTTGTTGGCGTGTATGGGTGGTCAATGTTGAGTTGTATCTTAGAAGGTAGGCGACGACAAAGATGTGATGGGATGGAGGAGGTGTGATGGGAGAAAGGGATGTGTTGGGGTGTCATTAATGAACTGGGTGACAGTGCACATTATCCAGAAATGTGGATTTGCTCTAAAATGTTCTAAAATTGAAAACAAGATGAAAGAGGCACGGATAGAGCCGGGTAATGAACCGGTACTTTTGTAAAAGCAGATGGACTAGCCTCATTAGAAAAAAAAACAATCAGCATATGTGTCATTCCCTACTTGTCCTACATCTCCCACATGTTCTATACACCCTACTTCTTTTAGTATCTTACAGAATATTTCCAACTGATATAAAAAACAAAAGCTATTGTATCTACATGTTTTACCTGGAAAGAGCTATTGTTTCTACGTGTTTTTTCTGGCAAGATCTAGTGTATCTACGCGTTTTACCTGGCAAGAGCTGTTCTATCTACGTGTGTTACCTGACAAGACCTAGTGTATTTACGTGTTTTACCTGGAAAGAGCTATTGTATCTACGTGTTTTACTTGTCAAGAACTATTGTATCTACGCGTTTTACCTGGCACGAATCTATGCCACCATTGATGTAGTCACCAGCACACAGTTTGAGATCGTTCACGTATCTTGGCCCGTAAGAGTTCCTGCACAAAGCCATATCAACAAGCGGCAGTTCTACGATTCTTAGGTTTTGCTGTAACCTACTGGACGTAACTGAAAACAAATTATGGAAATCATTGGAACTAATAAAAATCAATGTTATTTACAGATACCGGAAATAGTTTGAATGTGCAGATGACAACGGAAAAAAAATAAATTTACAGACTGGGCACCAGTTGGTCTCCTTAAAACACCGACCAGGCTAAGTAGCCGCACTGGGCTCTGCTGCACTGGGCACCAGTTGGTTTCCTTAAAACACCGACCAGGCTAAGTAGCCGCACTGGGCTCTGCTGCACTGGGCACCACTTCGTCTCCTTAAAACACCGCCCAGGCTAAGTAGCCGCACTGGGCTCTGCTGCACTGGGCACCAGTTGGTCTCCTTAAAACACCGCCCAGGCTAAGTAGCCGCACTAGGCTCTGCTGCACTGGGCACCAGTTGGTCTCCTTAAAACACCGCCCAGGCTAAGTAGCCGCACTGGGCTCTGCTGCACTGGGCAACAGTTGGTCTCCTTAAAACACCGCCCAGGCTAAGTAGCCGCACTGGGCTCTGCTGCACTGGGCACCAGTTGGTCTCCTTAAAACACCGCCCAGGCTAAGTAGCCGCACTGGGCTCTGCTACACTGGGCAACAGTTGGTCTCCTTAAAACACCGCCCAGGCTAAGTAGCCGCACTGGGCTCTGCTACACTGGGCAACAGTTGGTCTCCTTAAAACACCGCCCAGGCTAAGTAGCCGCACTGGGGATGAAACTTTGCGAGGCGGATAGCTTTTTCGTATAGCAATGAAAGTAAGTAGAAGGAAGACTGGACCACTTCGCTTTGAAACATGGAACGTAGGAATCATGTGTCCTGGATTTGACACAGACCTACAGCAGATGGACGACGCGAGAAAGGTCGCAGCTATGGATAAGGAACTCACCAGACTCAACTCTGTCATCGTATTCCTCCAACACGGTTAACCACAACTCAAAAGACCAATATCACAAGTAACAAATACTTTTTCTTTGCCTTTTTAAACTTTCAGTGGAACAAAGGCCATTAACAACATTTTGCCACTACAGTCGATGACTTACAATCCACTCTAAGTCTTTCCAACTCTTTTCAACTCTTTTCATTTCTTTTCGATCTGGAGTAAGCCTTTCAATCCCAAGTCCACTTCTCCCAATCTCGATATGTCAGTTTGTTTTTGTCCTACTACAAGAACCACAATCAACAACTTACAATCTGTAACCCCCCAACCAGCGGCGGTGCAGTAGTCTGCACTGAAGGGGTTCATCCAGGTCTCTGGTAGACACAGGGGCGTCACACAGTCCGAGAACACCAGGTCCTGGGTTAGCCTCAACACAGCGACGTCATAGTCTGAAACAAACCAGGGACAGAAAAACATGGCGTCAAATTAAATCAATATCAAAAGAAACTACACTTCAATGCTATCATAAATAACAATAACAATTAACCACCTTCCAGGCTATCAAAAATATCAATATAAACCATAGTCTAACGCTATTTTAGCTATAAATAGTAAACAACAGTTCCTGACTATCATAATAGTCAACTTCGGTTAACGGCTGAAATAAATACTTTAGCCAAATGCAGTTTCAGGCAATTATAGATATTAAAAGCAAATTACACTTTTAGGCTATCTATAATTTTTTGTTGCATTTTAATATAAGTAATAGAATCTTGTGACAACTTATATAGTACAATTTGCCAACTAAACATAAATAACTGACCCCCAGATAACAAACAGCTGACCAAACACCATTAAACAACTGACCAAACACCAACCAAGTACTGACCATTTATTCCAGGCACATGTCGGCTGTGAACAAAAACCTGGCCAACTCTGTAAACTCTTTGAGCACCAATCCGGGACGAGCCAACCCTGACCTGGACGCTGGACGCCATGTAGATGATGCCAGTGTCCCTGTGGGAGTACATCGTGGGTCATGTAGGAGGAGGTTCATGTAGGAGGGGGGTCATGTAGGAGAGGGGTCATGTAGGGGGGGTCATGTAGGAGGGGGTCATGTAGGAGCGTAGTCGTGGAGTAGGGTCATGTAGGAGAGGGGTCATGTAGGGGGGGTCATGTAGGAGGGGGTCATGTAGGAGCGTAGTCGTGGAGTAGAGGGAGGTATGGAGTGGAGGTGTCATGTAGATGATGCTAGTGTCCCTGTGGGAGTACATCGTGGGTCATGTAGGAGGGGGGTCATGTAGGAGCGTAGTCGTAGAGTAGAGGGAGGTATGGAGTGGAGGTGTCATGTAGATGATGTCAGTGTCCCTGTGGGAGTACATCGTGGGTCATGTAGGAGGGGGTCATGTAGGAGGGGGGTCATGTAGGAGCGTAGTCGTGGAGTAGAGGGAGGTATGGAGTGGAGGTGTCATGTAAATTATGTCAGTGTCCCTGTGGGAGTACATCATGGGTCATGTAGGAGGGGGGGTCATGTAGGAGGGGGAGTCATTAGGAGGGGAGTCATGTAGGAGGGGGAGTCGTGGAGTAGAGGTGCGTCCACTCATGGAGTAGAGGTGTCATGTAGAAGAGGTGAGTCCACTCATGGAGTAGAGGTGTCATGTAGAAGAGGTGAGTCCACTCATGGAGTAGAGGTCAAGCTATTGAGTAGAGTTCAGTCCCGTCATGTTGCAAATAAGAATGTAATGGAGTAGAAATGTCAAGTAATAGCTTGAAGGAATCAAGTCTTTGAGAAGAGATGTCATCAAGATGGACAAGAGAAGTCATGGATTAGAGAAATTAAGTCATGAAATAGAGAAGTCATCTCACTTTCACGTTTCAAATGTAAGGATACAACGCTTACTTGTTCTTAAGACAATGTGCCGCAGTCACAATATGGCGGCTATCTACGATTGTGCCGCCACAAAACAACGTGCCAACGGTCACTGCGACTATCCATGGGACTTCGCACTCGTAGGCCTGTCTCCCGCCTACGATCCTGACCCGGGACTTGTTGGGCCCACACGCTGTAGGGAGGGGATACAATGATACAAGCTATCATCAACTTATTGTATGGAACACATTCAATGATATAAGCTATCATCCACTTATTGTATGGAACACATTAAATGATACAAGCTATTATCAGCTTATTGTATGGAACACATTCAATGATATAAGCTATCATCCACTTATTGTATGGAACACATTCAATGATACAAGCTATCATCAGCTTATTGTATGGAACAAATTCAATGATACAAGCTATCATCATGATGTATGGACAGATACAAAGATACAAGCTATCATCTTGATGTGTTAAGATTGTTTAAAGCACACTGAAAGCCATACTGCACCTATGCCAGCACGAGCACTGGATGTTGTCTCCTCCTCTGTCACACTCCCCAGGGAACTTGTGTCCGGGGCTGGAAAGAAGATCGAGTTTTAACACTTTTAATGACAAATAAATCTATTGGTAACAATTAGTTTAAACAAATATTAACACAACATTTTATCCCGATAATTATGACGGACTGGAGGTGGTCACTAAACACTGGACATTAGTGGTACATACAAGACAAAGTGGTCACTACAAACTGGACATTAGTGGTACATACAAAACAAAGAGGTCACTACACACTAGAAATGAGCGTTACATACAAGACAAAGAGGTCACTACAAACTAGAAATGAGTGTTACATACAAAACAAAGAGGTCACTACACACTAGAAATGAGTGTTACATACAAGACAAAGAGGTCACTACAAACTGGACATGAGGGGTACATACAAGACGAAGGGGGAGATTCGAATTAAGACCTGTGGAGGCAACAAGAGATTCAAAAAGTTGCAGCCTCAAAGCTATCCCACTTGTCGTCCCAGATTCTTTAAAAATACTCCTCCTCAAGTCTATCATCCTCCAAGTCTATCTTCCTCCATCTCATCAAATCTATCATCCTCCACCTCCACAAGTCTATCATCCTCCTATTCCCCAAGTCTATCATCCTCCATCTCATCAAATCTATCATCCTCCACCTCCACAAGTCTATCATCCTCCTATTCCCCAAGTCTATCATCCTCAATCTCCCCAAATCTATCATCCTCCACCTCCACAAGTCTATCATCCTCCATCTCCCCAAATCTATCATCCTACACCTCCACAAGTCTATCATCCTCCACTCCACAAGTCTATAATCCTCCACCTCCAACAAGTCTATCAACTTCCACCTCCCCAAGTCTATCATCCTCCACTTCAACAAGTCTATCTCAATCTCCCCAAATCTATCATCCTCCATCTCCCCAAATCTATCATCCTACACCTCCACAAGTCTATCATCCTCCACTCCACAAGTCAATCATCCTCCATCTCCCCAAATCTATCATCCTCTACCTCCACAAGTCTATCATCCTCCATCTCCCCAAATCTATCATCCTACACCTACACAAGTCTATCATCCTCCACTCCACAAGTCTATAATCCTCCACCTCCACAAGTCTATCATCCTCCATCTCCCCAAATCTATCATCCTACACCTCCACAAGTCTATCATCCTCCATCTCCCCAAATCTATCATCCTACACCTCCACAAGTCTATCATCCTCCACTCCACAAGTCTATAATCCTCCACCTCCACAAGTCTATTATACTCCACCTCAACAAGTCTATCATCCTCCACCTCCCAAAGTCTATCATCCTCCAACTCCCCAAGTCTATCTTCCTCCACCTCCCCAAGTCTATCATACTCCAACTCCACAAGTCGATCATCTTCCACCTCCCCAAGTCTATCATCCTCCACTTCAACAAGTCTATCATCCTCCACATCCCCAAGTCTTTCATCTTCCACCTCCCCAAGTCTATCAACTTCCACCTCCCCAAGTCTATCATCCTCCACTTCAACAAGTCTATCATCCTCCACCTCCCCAAGTCTATAATCTTCCCCCTCCCCAAGTCTATCATCCTCCACCTCCCCAAGTCTATAATCTTCCACCTCCCCAAGTCTATCATCCTCCACCTCCCCAAGTCTATCGTCCTCCACCTCCACAAGTCTATCATCCTACACCTCCACAAGTCTAATATTCTCCACCTCCACAAGTCTATCATTCTCCACCTCCACATGTCAATCATTCTCCACCTCCACCAGTCTATCGTCCTCCACCTCCACAAGTCTATCATCCTCCAGCTCCACAAGTCTATCTTCCTCCACCTCTATAAGTCTATCATCCTCCACCTCCACAAGTCTATCATCCTCAACCTCCATAAGTCTATCATCCTCCACAAGTCTGTTATCCTCCACTTCAACAAGTCTATCATCTTCTCGTTTCCACCTGGTTGTAAACTGAAAACATCTGATTGAGGTAGTTACTATCTTACTATAACATCTTTCATTACACTGATTAAGGTTGTTGCTAACTTACTAGTACACCTTTGATTACACTGATTGAAGTAGTTGTCTTTGAACTCTTGTGTGTTGATGAAGGCAGCATAATAAGTGTAGGCTTCCTGACATCTACGTAAACATGACGTGCCTAAAAATAGAATATAAGTATATGACTTAATGTAACATACTGCTAGTTGTGATATAATTCAATGTATATGACTTAATGTATGTAACATACTGCTAGTTGGGGTATAATACATTGTATATGACTTAATGTATGTAACATAGAAAAGTAGGTTTCTTTAACATTGTAGTAGAGATGAGTAAGAACAACATCAGGGTACTATGAGATGGTAGATGTGATAAGTAAGAACAACATCAGGCTACGATGAGATGGTAGGTGTGATAAGTAATAACAACATTAGGCTACGATGAGAAGGTAGATGTGATAAGTAATAACAACATGAGGCTACTATGAGATGGTAGAAGTGATAAGTTAGAACAACATTAGGCTACTATGAGATGGTAGGTGTGATAGGTAATAACAACATCAGGCTAGTATGAGATAGTAGATGTGATAAGTAATAACAACATCAGGCTACTATGAGATGGTAGGTGTGATAAGTAATAACAACATCAGGCTACGATGAGATGGTAGATGTGATAAGTAATAACAACATCAGGCTACTATGAGATGGAAGATGTGATATGTAAGAACATCACCAGGCTACGATGAGATGGTAGATGTGATAAGTAATAACAACATTAGGCTACTATGAGATGGTAGGTGTGATAAGTAAGAACATCACCAGGCTACTATGAGATGGTAGGTGTGATAAGTAAGAGCATCACCAGGTTACTATGAGATGGTAGGTGTGATAAGTAAGAACATCACCAGGCTACTATGAGATGGTAGGTGTGATAAGTACTGTTGCAAGGATAGCTGAACTCAAGCACCAGAAAAATTATTTGGAAATAATATGAATAAAGGACACTAGCACTGTGACCTACTGTCACAATGTGAATGATGGACACTAGCACTGTGACCTACTGTCACAATGTGAATGATGGACACTAGCACTGTGACCTACTGTCACAATGTGAATGATGGACACTAGCACTATGACTTATGTCACAATGTGAATGATGGACACTAGCACTGTGACCTAATGTCAGAATGTGAATGATGGACACTAGCACTATGACTTATGTCACAATGTGAATGATGGACACTAGCACTATGACTTATGTCACAATGTGAATGATGGACACTAGCACTATGACATAATGTCACAATGTGAATAATGGACACTAGCACTATGACCTAATGTCACAATGTGAATGATGGACACTAGCACTATGACTTATGTCACAATGTGAATGATGGACACTAGCACTGTGACCTAATGTCAGAATGTAAATGATGGACACTAGCACTATGACATAATGTCACAATGTGAATAATGGACACTAGCAGTATGACCTAATGTCACAATGTCAATGATGGACACTAGCGCTATGAGCAACTTTATAATGAAACCAGGTATAAATTAGTAGATAGTTTATATAAGCCTTTAAGCCGAATATTCGATGAATACAAACAGTGATAAAAAGTTAATGCTCATAAGGCCCAGAAATCTGACCGACCGTCAACGGCATCTTGACCCATGACGTTTCTGATGTTGTTTAAGCCTGTCATTAGGCACACGGCAAAGACGGCAATCATCGGTCTTAGAAACATGACGTCACCTGTAACTGACAATAGAAATAGTGAAATTGTATTATAGGATTCAGTTTAATTATAAGATCATGCAATCATGTAATATTATATTATATCATTTAATGCATGTGTATTTCCTTTTATGCGTGAAGTAATAATTTGGATAACACAGAAAAGGAACCCCCCCAAAAAAGGGGGGGAGGGGGTGGGGGGAAGGATACCTAAGTGGTGTGACGATAATATATACATTTTTTTTAAACCTTCCATTTCTACAAATCTGACACATGGTTCATGGTTTATGGTTATGGTTTATGGTTCATGGTTTATGGTTCATGGTTTATGGTTTATGGTTCATGGTTTATGGTTCATGGTTTATGGTTCATGGTTTATGGTTCATGGTTTATGGTTTATGGTTCATGGTTTATGGTTTATGGTTCATGGTTAATGGTTATGGTTTATGGTTATGGTTTATGGTTTATGGTTCATGGTTATGGTTTATGGTTTATGGTTCATGGTTCATGGTTCAAACAACGAGTTGAATGAACAAAACTCAATAGTAAGTATGGAGTGTGAATGCTTGAAGACCATTAAATGACCGTTACTCCTATAAGCCTTCATCAGCAGACAAAAAAAACAAAGTTAATAGAAAAAATAAACTCAACTTGTCCGTAGTGAGAGTGACGTACACATTGAAACACACCCCTAAACACAACGTTTAAGTATAAATCTCTAATAAGCATTTTTTAAATTATTGTATTTAAAACTGAATATTCCAATGACACACCCGCTTCTAACACCGCAGATTTATTGCACCAACTATTTCAGACAAGCAAAAATATATAAAAATATGACGCACCAAAACGCACTTGAAATAAAAAAAACTAAAAGAATCTCACTCAGCGCAGTTATCAGGAATTTGATTTCGTTCAATCCATGGCCTCATATTTCCTTTATCGTCCCCTTAAAAAAATGATTTTTGAGGGTTGTGGTTGAGGGATGGGACAGAATGTGTTGTCATCGGGAAAGAGTCTATGTGCCAAGTTTCAGTTCGATAAAGTGGGTCAGTTGGCCGTCCGCAGATTTTTGCCACCCTGTCAGAAACACACACGCACAAAGGCGAATTTAATCTAAAAGATTTAATGGGAGTCGCTTAGTCACTTCCTTGTTTGGTCACGTGATGTGAGTAAGCCATCACTAGGCTGCTACACACAACAAAAGATACTTCATCAGTGCTTCCCCAATGTCATGTTACTTAAAAATTTTACCTTTCGAAATATTCTGGAATNCAAGTAACTGACGTACAGATTATCACTCCCATCAAGTAACTGACGTACAGATTATCACTCCCATCAAGTAACTGACGTACAGATTATCACTCCCATCAAGTAACTGACGTACAGATTATCACTCCCATCAAGTAACTGACGTACAGATTATCACTCCCATCAAGTAACTGACGTACAGATTATCACTCCCATCAAGTAACTGACGTACAGATTATCACTCCCATCAAGTAACTGACGTACAGATTATCACTCCCATCAAGTAACTGACGTACAGATTATCACTCCCATCAAGTAACTGACGTACAGATTATCACTCCCATCAAGTAACTGACGTACAGATTATCACTCCCATCAAGTAACTGACGTACAGATTATCACTCCCATCAAGTAACTGACGTACAGATTATCACTCCCATCAAGTAACTGACGTACAGATTATCACTCCCATCAAGTAACTGACGTACAGATTATCACTCCCATCAAGTAACTGACGTACAGATTATCACTCCCATCAAGTAACTGACGTACAGATTATCACTCCCATCAAGTAACTGACGTACAGATTATCACTCCCATCAAGTAACTGACGTACAGATTATCACTCCCATCAAGTAACTGACGTACAGATTATCACTCCCATCAAGTAACTGACGTACAGATTATCACTCCCATCAAGTAACTGACGTACAGATTATCACTCCCATCAACAATAGTGTAATGACCCACCCGCTATTTTGACCAGCAATTTTTGGAGAAAACAAAATATTCCCAAAAGTAGGTAACTAAACAACCTATTGTCTCAGTCTGCTCTTTATATACAGGACATTGTCTCAGTCTGCTCTTTATCTACAGGACATTGTCTCAGTCTGCTCTTTATCTACAGGACATTGTCTCTTTACCTACAGACCACAACTCTTATGATGTCAATGGTTATTTCTTTCAGGAAATATTGCCCCAATTATGTGTGCCTTTATGTCTCACTTTGAATACATTGGGAAGAATGCGGTTACATCCCAGACATTTTGACAAGAGTGATCAATGTCAGCATGATGGAAATAAATGAACTAGAGAATGTATGAATTTTCTAAACTCCTTTCAACTTCTATTCAATTAACTTCCAAAATATCTGAAAATCCTGTAATTTTTTATATTAAATTTATCTTTGATGTTACACTTATCTTTGACATTATAATTATATTGCTCTTATCTTTGATATTACATTATTTTTTTTATACTACTCTTATCTTTGATATTACTCATAACTTAAAGGAAGATGGATATTTTCTTTATGCCTGCTACAAATCCACTGACATCAATTGTTACTTATCATCTACTTATCATTGTTACACTAAATCATCTAAAGACTACATTTATAAATTTCGCCACTCTAAATCGACTATGACGACCTTAATTATCTTATCTGCCAATTGCCAACTTGGCTGTGGGTGCGCAGATGGCTGATGAGACCGGTTCTGACATAAACTTAATGTTCTTGTGCGGTAAGTGCAAGGGATTGATGGGGCATATCCAGTAACACTACGTTGGATAGCTGCTTCTGTTCCTGCTTTTGAGGCACTATAGTCAGCATACAGGAAGTCCCTGATAATGTCTGTCAGGACTTGGGTTTGGCATATAGACCCTTGTGTTTGAAATTACTTACCATCATTTTCATATCTGAGATTATTTCCAACGTCTCCCTAAGTAAAGGCATCAGTCCCCATGAGGAAAACATAGGCTGAAAAATGATTGGGGCCAGGACACAAAACTGATGGGGGCCAGGACACAAAACTGATGGGGGCCAGGACACAAAACTGATGGGGGCCAGGACACAAAACTGATCCCCCGGTCCTGTGTTTTGACTACCCCCGGTCCTGTCAAAACTGATGGGGGCCAGGACACAAAACTAATGGGGGCCAGGACACAACCCTGTTGCACGCCATTTGTCACTGAGAATGGTTTACACGTCTGCACATGTTCCCTAATACTAGCCTGCATACCATCATGTCCTCTAACACTAGGCTCCATACCATCATGTCCCGTAACACTAGTCTGCATATCATCACATCCCCTTAAGCTAGCCTGCAAACCATCATGGAATTGCCGTAACACTAAAATGAAGTTTTAAGGGGATCCATATTTAGCCCTAATCTTCCAAAGACCCGTTCTACTAACAGTATTGAAAGTCTTGGTCAGATCTACAAAGATGGAAAAAAAGTCAACTTTCTTTTTTTTCATGTAGCTGTCAGGCCGCAAACACCATTTAATAGTTCCGCGTTCTTTATGGACACCGCATTGACTTTCTGGCAAGATTTGTATTAATAAGACGGTTTAGCGAGATTCCAGTGAGTACCTTGCCTGCATTTGAGAGCAATGATATGCCAATGATTTGGAACACACTTCCTGGCGCTCTCAGAAACAGCCAGACACTGAAGTCTTTCAAAATCGATTTGAAATGCATGTATTTCGCAAACACCTGCTGGGGTGATGTTGTCTACCATCTCTTCCAGCAAGTTATTATCTCCTAGATGTATATTGGCTTGTGTTATTTATGGTTGCAAGGGATGAAAGACTTAGAATATGTATTCTCGAATGTAGTTTTTGTAATGTTGTGATTTGTATTTCAATGTAGTATAATATAGATTTTTCATTTCTCTTTTAATATGGTTGACTTTGTACCACTCTTTGAGCCTTTGTGCATGAAGCGTGATTTTCAAATAAACTTTATTATTATTATTATTATTATTATTATTATTATTATTATTATTATTATTATTATTATGGTTGCTGCAAAATTGACGGTTTTCTTTTCGCTTGCACGTAAACAATAGATACATCCTTGAAATCCACATGTTTAGGAACATCTGATGTAAACAATAGATACATCCTTGAAATCCACATGTTTAGGAACATCTGATGTAAACAATAGATACATCCTTGAAATCCACATGTTTAGGAACATCTGATGTAAACAATAGATACATCCTTGAAATCCACATGTTTAGGAACATCTGATGTAAACAATAGATACATCCTTGAAATCCACATGTTTAGGAACATCTGATGTAAACAATAGATACATCCTTGAAATCCACATGTTTAGGAACATCTGATGTAAACAATAGATACATCCTTGAAATCCACATGTTTAGGAACATCTGATGTAAACAATAGATACATCCTTGAAATCCACATGTTTAGGAACATCTGATGTAAACAATAGATACATCCTTGAAATCCACATGTTTAGGAACATCTGATGAAGCATTTCAGTCAGAGCTGTGTCCTTTTTTTCTTTTGTATATTTCAGGTGGGATCGAGTCATCCCATGGAGCTTCGCCACTCGATAGGAGACATGTAACATGTTGGGTCTCGATTAGATATGGGGATCTTCCATTTCTAGATTTATTGATTAGAGATTTCTCATCAGCACTCAAAATCGAGGATGAGTTTGATGAAGTGGGGTCGATCCTGGGGAAGAGTAGCCGTAAACTGCTCTAAGAGTGAGTCAACATTTTCAGGTCATGTCTATTCGCATAGCCCTCGATTGTGTCAACCTTGTCTCTCAATCATTTACTCTGCATTACACATAGTTCCTGGTGCATCGTTCATCTTAAGTTGTGATTCACTTCTATCACTGTGAGTGACCTCCAGTTGTCAGGCCATTTTTCCTCAAGCAGCTGAGTACGTCACAGTTTTCATTGAAAAAGTCCGGAATTGGGTGGGTTTTTTTTAGATTGGTTTTTGAAAGTCCATAGCTGTCTTGTACAACATAGATCTAAGATATGCCCCAGTATTAATGTTGTACGACATAGATCTAAAAGATGTCCAGTTGGTCTCGACATTGTCATATTCAAAATATTACAACGCCATACGCCCTTCCAGAGCACCAACACAAGAGTTGTCGATTGCGGGGCTAATCACCAAGTCGTGTTCAGGTGTTTAGAGGTCTTCTTTCCCCATTGACATTTTTGAGGTTGTAAAGGAAGGTTGAGCTTGGTATAAAAAGACAACAGTCTGCAACAGACATTTTCTTGGTTACACTTGTCCTGCTCAATGCTTCTTAGGCTACGTCATCTTCAAGTGCAGTGAAGGCTTTCTGTGTATGGCTTTTGAAATGATGAACATTATTCCCCCCCCCCATATCCAACCCTGAATAAACCCTGGTTTCTGCAAACAGTCGTATGAATACAATCTCTTTGAATGATGAATTAAGTTCTAGCTAGGAACGATTTTTGCAACCAATAATCCTTACTTACCATCCTAACGATGGGATTGCAAAAAGAGTTCTCTTCCGTCTGACCATGACACTAACAGATAATTCTCATCTTTTCCTGGCATTGTCTTAACACTGGATAAAAATCAAGGGACCTTCTGGTTCACAGCCACCTTCAAGACCACCCATCTCATTCACAACCACCTTCAAGACAACCCATCTCATTCACAACCATCTTCAAGACCACCCATCTCATTCACAACCATCTTCAAGACGACCCATCTCATACACAGCCACCTTCACTTTCATCCATCTCACCTTGGTCAAACTCACGTTCAGGAAGCAGTTGTAGAACTTTCCCTTATGTCCTTTCAACTTAACCAAACAAAATGTCCTAATGGGGACTTACAATCAAGGGAGGTTACACATTTATAACTCGCAGTGTGATCTACAGGATTGTTTTGGGAAGCTGCCGCTCCTGTTATATAGTTGAGACGGTAAGAAGATTAAATGATCGATTCGGTGAACATCTCCGTGGTATTGAACAAGCCAAGCAATATCCTTTCTCTTCCATTTATAAGGCGAAAATAAAGGCACATGAGTCGCATTTATCATGACACTGATTTGTTACACTCATAGAACAGCGATTTTCAAGAATTAAAAGAAGATCATTGACATCATTGGTCCCATAGCGCCCCATGAAGTCAATCAAATTCTTGTCCACAAGTAGTCCTCATTTGTTCACCCCTTTCTCAATTCATTTGTATTTTTAGTTTCCTATTTGAATTTTGAGAATTTGGCATTTCATCTCAACTTCAGTTCAATTCTTTTACTTCATGTATCTTAATTGGCAACAATTGAACCGTAGACTCAGGAGTTCCACAAGGCACAGTGCTAGGCCGAAACGTTCACCTGACTGCCCTATTCTCTTGTTAACACTTCACGTCTGATTGTCTTCTGTTTTCTAAACTTAGCTCGAAATGCAGTTAATAACAGATTAGTATGATTGTCTACTGTTTTCTAAACTTGGCTTGAAATGCAGTTAGTATTAGATTATTATGTAGCAACAGAAGAATATTTGTAAGACTGGATGATTTAGCATTATTAAAATGTACGTATAAAAGTATAAATATATGTAGTTCAAGGTCGAACATTTCTGCTCCTTATCTTTCATTGGTTTTGTTTTACGACTTCTTGAATCCTTTTGTTGCGAGTAACGAGATGGCGAATTAGTCGTTGGTGCTGAGGAAGACGATGATTTCCTGGCACCGGGGCCGTCACAGGAGGGGGCCGTCACAGGAAGGGGCCGTCACAGGGGGGCCGTCACAGGAGAGGGCTGACAGAGGAGTTTTAAGACTCCCTCTCCTGATTTTCTGTCGTTTTAACTCCCGCAATCTTTAAGCAGGTTCTGTAGCCGCAAGGCCGAGGAGTTTTGAGGAGTCAACATTCGAGTCACATCTGGCAAGGCCGAGGAGTTTTGAGGAGTCAACATTCGAGTCACATCTGGCAAGGCCGAGGAGTTTTGAGGAGTCAACATTCGAGTCACTTCTGAGTCTTAGATGCGCCATCATTCAAATATCTTCTACTCAAGTCTTAGATAAGCCCCCATTCAAATACCTTCTACAATATGTGTGTGGTTACATTGTTAGTTTGGGTATTACATTGGGTTTGAACCATAACCCATCTCATCATGTTTACATGTGTCGATATCCTTGAAAAAAGATCCAGTAATCAAAATATGAACCCTTTGCTAACTGATCATGATAATCATGACACAACTCCTTCAGAATTCAGAGCATACCGCGCCTCCTTCACCCACCCGCCACCCGTGCTCCCTCCTTCCAGGGAGTTATCTCAATGAATTGCTAAAGAAGTTGACACAGGAAATCAACCATGTGAGATTGTTTGAAAAGTTCAACCAAACCTGTTTTTTTATGTAAAGGCCAATGTTTGTTCTTGCTGATTAACATGCAAGACGATGTCCTCACACGCAAAGGTGAGAGATCCGGTCTGTCCTGGTTCATCTAACTGTTGGTATGCATCCGTTCCAATCCTATCAGCGCTGAAAACTATGGAGGACTTTGTCCTGCAACTGTTGGTACAGTAGTTCTACAGCACGTGGATGTTTTTGTCCTGCAACTGTTAGTACAGTAGTACTACAGCCCATGGAGCGCTTTGTCCTGCAACTGTTGGAATAGTCAGAGCAATTACGAAACATTTGAAAGCACCATACCACTTTTAGGCTTTGTTCACCGTCAAAACAGATTGTTACATTTTATCAACATCACTTCTTTAGGCTTCTTAATAAATACCCGAGACCACTAAGGAGGCACGGGTTGCATTGCGCACTTACGGCTCTGGGTAAAATATTATTACATGTCTTTGAGAACTTTGGCCTTCAATTGTTTGTACAGGAGTGTTACAATCCATGGTGGGGTTTGGTCAGCCACTGTTGGTACAGAAGTATTACAACTCTTGGAGGGCTTTAGTCAGCTACTGTTGGTACAGGAGTATTACAATCCATGGATGGCTTTGGTCAGCCCCTGTTGGTACAGAAGTGTTACAACTCATGGAGGGCTTTGGTCAGCCACTGTTGGTACAGGAGTATTACAATCCATGGATGGCTTTGGTTAGCCACTGTTGGTACAGAAGTATTACAACTCATGAAGGGCTTTGGTCAGCCACTCTTGGTACAGAAGTATTACAACTCATGGAGGGCTTTGGTCAGCCACTGTTGGAACAGAAGTATTACAACTCATGGAGGGCTTTGGTCAGCAACTATTGCCATGTTAACTTTAGCCTATAGAGGGCTCTCTCCTGAACATTTTGGTTTATTCTTTTTTAAGTTATGAAGCAATCTTTACAAACAAGATCAGACATTGGAGTGTCCCTTACACAAATATTCAGGAATTATTCGATTCTTTAGAATAAAACATTTAATTAAATGACCATTGAATAACCCTAGTGTAGCTTGCAGATTGTGTTAGTAGAAATATCAATGTATCCATTAAAGTATTGAGTATAGCTGAAGAATTTATGCTGATATTAAGAGTCGATAAAAGAAAAGTTGAAAAAGTACATTCAATTCAATTGAATCGTTAAGTATATTTATTGAGGTTAACTTGGTCAGTTCACTTATTGAAGTTGAGTTGATGAAAAAGTGAAAATGAGATGTAATCACTCAGAGTTCGTGGAATAAAATTGAAAAAAAAACTTTAAATACAGTTTTTGTGTGTTTCCTAACCCTTTACCTGTTCCACAACTTCTTACGAAATTTTGTATCAGTAACGAACCCCTTACAAATGACAAATTTAAAGAATTCTCGCACCCCATGTATCCCCCCAAGCCACCCCCCCCCCACACACACACACACAAAAGTAACAATTGAACAATTGTTTTTTTAGGTGAATTGAAATGACAAACTTAAAAATACATGTGTGACATTTGGCAACTGATAAAGTCTGTGACATTTGGCAACTGATAAAATCTGTGAATATGGCAACTGATAAAGTCTGTGACATATGGCAACTGATAAAATCTGTGACATATGGCAACTGATAAAATCTGTGACATATGGCAACTGATAAAGTGTGTGACATATGGCAACTGATAAAATCTGTGACATATGGCAACTGATAAAGTGTGTGACATATGGCAACTGATAAAATCTGTGACATATGGCAACTGATAAAGTGTGTGACATATGGCAACTGATAAAATCTTCATAGATAAATACATAAGTAGATGGATCTTTCTTTTTTTGTTGCCCCTCATGGGGTTGCAAGGATCCTAGTTTGGGAAACCTTGGTTTAGGTGGGGTAGAAACAGCAGAAATGATTGAACTAAACATACCTTTATACAGAGACATACCTTTTGTACAGAGACATACCTTTTATACAGAGACATACCTTTTATACAGAGACATACCTTTTGTACAGAGACATACCTTTTATACAGAGACATACCTTTTATAAAGAGACATACCTTTTGTAAAATCCTATGGTGTATAAAACTGGAAATGTAATGTCTTAAAACCTTTCGATGAGCTGGGTTCCAACAAAGTACCTTGAGCAAGATGTGAGAACCGTTTAACAACTTAATACTTATAGAACAAAGAATAATTTGTTATTGGCAGATACCTTGAACAATTCAAAATTGTGGAAAGTTGTCTTTGAATATCCTCTATATCCGTGATAATTTGTGTTGTTTTTTTCCAAAAGTTTTAATGTATAGTTATTAGCACTATGTTATCACAACTGATATGGAAACAGTATGTTGTTACGTCATGACACTGAGCGAGGCACAATGGTCATGCCTTTATGACTATGCAGACTTTGATGACGTGTACCTGCAGTTGATGTTTCAAAAGTCACCCAGTGTCGACCGTGCTCTGTGGCAAGACGACTTGGTCGGCTGCTTATATTCTGGACGCCTGTCTACAAGGATGGCCTTCAGGTCACAGAAAGAAACTTGCTGTCATCCCACGGAAGGAGCTGGGTGGCAACTTGCATCCATCCACGTTAGTCATGGAATATCCGGTGTAACTCAATTACCAAATGTTCGAGTACTGTATGCAGTGGCGTAGCTATAATGGTGCTGGTGGGGCCACCGCATCAGGGCCCGAAGTCCAAAGGGGCCCGAGCATATAAAGGTTTACAATTTTACCGGAACTATTTTATACCTCGGGTCAGGCACCACGCAACTCTAGCTACGCCACTGACTCTATGTCCAGGGTACCGGCGTATTCGAAGATGGCTTATAGCCGAACCTATAATAAACACTTATTTTGTGCTAGCTGTTGACTTACGACTCATTAGTACGCAGTGCATGTCCGTATTGTAGTAAAACATCGCGGAACGTAAGGAGTACATTTACCGCCATCACAAAGAACAAGGGGATGTAACGAGTACAGTTGCCGCCATCACAGGGAACAAGGGGAACTCAATGTGAACAAAATAAGGGAAAGACAACTCCAGTCCTGTTGGATCTTTTGAATTGATCACGAAACTGGGTAAAGTCCCTTTAATCATTAAAGTACCTTAAACAAATCCTCTAAAGAATTCATATCAAAGATTCAAAGATTTGATTTTGTTTGTAATATCCAGTAAGATTAAATAAACCATCAGTCAGACAACACAGACTTCTTTCGATGAACGTAGTTTGTCTTATGCGTCATGCACACGATGAACTTGATGAAAATAGGAAATATAGAGCCAGAATTACCTCAACCACTACACTTCCTCTCAACCCAAACACACCCACTCAGGCCTTACACTCACACTTAGTCCTTTCACCCCCTTAGGGCTTACACTCCATCTGAATCCTTAAAATCCCACTTAGTCCTTAAACTCCCACTTAGTCCTTACACTCCCTTAGGCATTACACTCCCACTCATGCCTTACATTCCCACTCAGGCCTTACACTCCTACTGAGGCCTTACACTCCCACTTAGGCCTTACACTCCCACTCAGGCCTTACACTCAAACTCAGGCCTTACACTCACACTGAGGCCTTACACTCCCACTCAGGCCTTACACTCCCATTCAGGCCTTACAGTCCTACACAACCAAAATATTTCATATGATCTGTGTAAGCAGCTGTTTAGTTGGTCAACCAAGAGTTCACCACCGCTTTCAATCAATTTAAACATTTATAAGCTCCACCCCAATGTAGTTTTCTTTTTAATTGCTAGAATCTTATTAGACATATGATGCAACTGAACCATTCCTCCATGGGATCAGATCCCCACCAGAACTCAAAAAAATGTAATTATGAAATGGAATTAAATGGAAATGTTTAGCATCGGATTATATTTTATTTTCGAAGTAGCTTTAGGGGAGATAACTGCACCACCTGACCTAATTGCATCATTCCGTCCCTTGTCTACCTTATGGACAACAACCAATTCCCTTGTATACCATATGGACAACAACCAATTCCCTTGTCTACCTTATGGACAACAACCAATTCCCTTGTATACCATATGGACAACAACCAATTCCCTTGTCTACCATATGGACAACAACTAATTCCCTTGTATACCATATGGACAACAACCACTTCCGTTGTCTACCATATGGACAACAACCAATTCCCTTGTATACCATATGGACAACAACCAATTCCCTTGTATACCATATGGACAACAACCAATTCCCTTGTATACCATATGGACAACAACCAATTCCCTTGTATACCATTATTATACCCGCTTGATGCAAACACAAGTACACTTTTTTCTGTCAACTTATCCTTGACCCAATCTTAATCTGTCATCTTAACCTTTGACCCATTCTGAAACTGCTTATCTAAACTTTACCCTCATCTGTAGTTGTATCTTACCATTACCCTGATCTCAATTAAATTTTACCCCCGTCTCAAGTTGTCATCTGAAGTTTACCCTAATCTGTGGTCGTCATCTCTACCTCTACCCTGATCTAAAACTGCCGTCTTACCTGTGCCCTGTCTTGCGGATGTCTTTTTACCTTGACTGAGTCACTGTGTCAACAGTCTTGAGTCTTCCAGGGAAATCTCGGCGTAATTCAATTCAATCCTAATTACACATTCATCAAATGAACGCGGCCTGCAGGAAGAGTCTCCTGTTGACAGACATTCCTTCTACCGACTCAGTCCCCGTCCTTTCTTTCCCGGACTTGGCTTGCACGACTGATGACGACAATATTTCCATTGACAATCCCGACGACTAAGTCAATTTTTCTATTTGTCAATGTCTTTGTAAGCGAAATGTGCCTCTGTTGACATTGAAGAATCACAATGAAGTTTTAACATTAACACTTACATTTTAACATTAACACTTACATTTTGACATTAATAGTATATGTGTTGACATGAACATTTCCGTTTTGACATTGTATAGAGTATGTCAATATGTTGAGTCTTATATGTGTAAATATGATGACTCCTTTATATGTAAATAAGATGACTCTTTCTTTTTATATGTAAATATGATGACTCTTTTATGTGTAAATATGATGACTCTTTTATGTGTAAATATGATGACTCTTTTATGTGTAAATATGATGACTCTTTTATGTGTAAATATGATGACTCTTTTATGTGTAAATATGATGACTCTTTTATATGTAAATAAGATGACTCTTTTATATGTAAATATGATGACTCTTTTATGTGTAAATAAGATGACTCTTTCTTTTTATATGTAAATATGATGACTCTTTTATGTGTAAATATGATGACTCTTTTATGTGTAAATATGATGACTCTTTTATATGTAAATATGATGACTCTTTTATATGTAAATATGATGACTCTTTTATATGTAAATATGATGACTCTTTTATATGTAATTATGATGACTCTTTTATATGTAAATATGATGATTCTTTTATATGTAAATATGATGACTCTTTTATATGTAAATATGATGACTCTTTTATATGTAAATATGATGACTCTTTTATATGTAAATATGATGACTCTTTTATATGTAAATATGATGACTCTTTATATGTAAATATGATGACTCTTTTATATGTAAATATGATGACTCTTTTATATGTAAATATGATGACTCTTTTATATGTAAATATGATGACTCTTTTATATGTAAATATGATGACTCTTTTATGTGTAAATATGATGATTCTTTTATATGTAAATATGATGACACTTTTATATGTAAATATGATGACACTTTTATATGTAAATATGATGACACTTTTATATGTAAATATGATGACACTTTTATATGTAAATATGATGACACTTTTTATGTGTAAATTTGATGACTCTTATATGTTTAAATATAATAACTATTATTTTGTGTAGCCAAGTTGACTCTTATATATGTTAATAACATGTCTCTTTTATGTGTAAATATGATGACTCTTTTATGTGTAAATATGACGACTCTTTTATGTGTAAATATGATGACTCTTACCATTAAGGCAATTGGACGCTCAGTTTGACTCATGGTGCAGTGATTTATTATTTACATCTTAATCCAAGCTTCTATCAACGTGAGCTCTAGTGATAAGCTCCAAGCTTCTATCAAAGTAAGCTCTAGTGATGAGCTCCAAGCGTATACCAATGTAATCGCTAGGGTAAGCTTTACGATACGATGCTCCAGTGATAAGCTCTAAGCTTCTATCAAAGTAAACTCGAGCGATAAGCTCCAAGCTTCATTGAAAGTAAGCTCTAGTAATAAGTTCTACGGTTCGATCAATGTAAGCTCTAGTGATTAGCTCCAAGCTTCTATCAAAGTAAGCTCTAGTGATAAGCTTCAAGCTTTTATCAAAGTAAGCTCTAGAGATAAGCTCTACGCTTCGATCAATGTAAGCTCTAGTGATGAGCTTCAATAGATAGTTATACATGTATAATTAGCTCTCAGGTCACACGGAAAAAGTGAGGTTGTTGACGGTATTCAATCATAAGTACCATAATGAAATGTTCGACCCTCCCACCCTTCCCCATCCCTTCTGGAGAGATTCTCTGTTTGTAATGGGTCTATCTGACTAAAATGTTTGGAACCACTGGACTAACAGCTTTCAACATGGACTCCGAACATCACAAAGAAATCAACTAAATCTTTGAACAAACTTAACACAGCATAGAACAACGAATTATATTTGAAAAGTTTCTAGTTCTAGCATAAAAATTAGTTTTTTTTTTTTTTTAAAATACTAAATAGTTTTTAATAGTTGCGACTGATAAGAGCACATACACACACACAATATATAATAGTTCTCTAGAACATGCCTGCACTACATACGGCCCGCGGGCTGCATGTGGCCCGCTAGCACCCACTTGGCGGCTCGCGAAGTAACGAAATATACTTTATTATAATTATTTTCTCAATAGCTTTCACCCCAGTCATATCATCTTTCTTCCTGGGCAAGCTGTTCATAAAGTATAACAGCCCGCACAAGATTTTCATAAAGTATTACGGTCCACCTTACATTTTGAGTAGTGCAGGGCTGCTCTAGAAGAAAACCTGACTAGTCGTCCTGCAGCTGATGAACTGGTGGGGTCAACATTTAGCTACGTGTTTAAACACTTTCAACTAAACGTCTCATAAGTGTTACATCAGTTACAGGATGAGAGCCTGGCGAGAGACATTTACATATGGGATGTGTAGCACTTTAAAGATGAGAATATTACAAAACAACATTTCTTTTCCTTTAAAGTCAGAGTTGGTAAATACATAGATTTATGAAAGTATCAGTAAAAAAATCAAAGACAACAAGAATGAAAGTATATAAAGAATTATCAGGAAGCCGATGCAAATCAAAGTTTCTTACAAATTAACTTCCGAATCTTTTTGCATTGATCAAATTAATAAGTTTTGCACATTTATATTATATTACATTTATATAACATCACATTTCTATTATATCAAGTTTATATTATATCACATGCATATTTTATCACGTTTATATTACATAACTTGCATTTGGCAAGTATCCCTGTAACGAGCAATGTTCCCATCACGTCAGACATTATATGCAATAAACCAGTGACGATTTCATCAGGGGTTCTGCAAATGGTCTATAAATATCAACACTCTAACCCCTAGCCAGACACACAAACACACAAACATTGCCCCCCACCCCTTCCAAAAAAACAAAAACAAAACAACTCTTGCTTGACACGACCAACCACCACATCGCCTGTCCCGACACGACCAACCACCCCATCGCCTGTCCCGACACGACCAACTACCCCATCGCCTATCCCGACACGACCAACCACCCCATCGCCTGTCCCGACACGACCAACCACCCCATCGCCTGTCCCGACACGACCAACCACCCCATCGCCTG